TGACACTGCGGCGGCCGCTGCTGCTGCAGACGATGGGCGGATTGGTGCAGTACAGCGCCAAGACATGGATCGTGAGCGGGCACGCTTTCAATGCGAGATCTGCCTGCGGGGGTTTACATCTAAGATTGGCCTAGGGGTGCATAGGAAGAGTCAGCACCCAGTTCAGGCCAATGACATGATTGATACGGGTAGAACTAAAGATAGGTGGACAAGGGAAGAAATTGAGAGAATGGCTGCGGTCGAGGCGGATCTGGATGCAGGCCTGGTGAACATCAACCAAGTGCTGCAACAGCGCCTACAAACCATGAGATCTCTTGAAGCCATTAAAGGTATGAGGAAGAAGGCAACGTACAAAGCTCTTGTCGCTGAAAAAAGGGATGCAGCCTCCTACCCACAGGCCTGTGAAGAATCAACTAGTGAAGGCAACGTAGAAACTGAGGCGGCGGAGGAACTGGTGAGGTCGCAACTGCTTGTGAGCATGGAAGCTCTCACCGAGGATAGTGAACCGGTTCAGGTGCTCCGGGCAGCAATAACGGCTGCGGTAGATGGCCAGGTAGAGCTGTCGACCAACCACTTAGCAGAGTGGCTGGCTAGAATACCGAGGGAGGGTGGCAGAACGCTACCAAGACCAGAGCCTGGAAACCAAGCACGCGAATGCCTCAGAAGGCACCGGAATGCCAGACCCAGTGACAGCACACCAGCAAGGAATGGAAGGTCTAAGAAACAGGAAAGGAGGTGCGAATACCGAAGAGTTCAACGCCTGTGGAGAAAGCATATGAGAAAGGCTGCCAAGATTGTCCTGGATGGAGATGCAGACAAGGTGGAACACCCAACCCTACAAGAGCAGGAAGACTTTTGGAAACCGATCCTCACAGGACATGAGACATGCCTAGGAGAGCCTGTGGTACTACCAGGCCGCGTGGGGAACGGCGTGGAAATGTTGTGGAATCCAGTCACGGCCGAGGAGATTAGGTGCGCCAAACCACCTAATGGTACAGCCGCTGGGCCCGACGGGGTAACCATGGCAGACTGGAACAAAATATCTATCCTGGAAAAAGTGGCTGTGTTCAACACCATTATGCGCAACGAGAGGGCACCGAGGAGCATGCTGGACTCCAGAACGGTATAGATTCCTGAGAAGGAGGGCACCATGGACCCGGCCAAGTTTAGGCCGCTGTCTATATCATCGGTGGTAACGAGGCACTTCCATAAGATCTTGGGAGCGAGAATGAACAGGTGCGAAATACTCGATAGGAGGCAGAGAGCCTTCATAGTGTCGGATGGGGCTGCAGAAAACATCTTCACGCTAGCGTCGGTCATCGATGATGCTAGAAGGGAACTGAAGCCACTGCACCTCGCTGTCCTCGATGTACGGAAGGCGTTTGATACAGTAACGCATGGAGCAATCAATGCAGTCCTGCGAAAGAAAGGACTACCGATTGCAATGAGGCGCTATATTAACAATGTCTATCAGGATTCCAGAACCAGGATCCAAGTCGGTAGGGTTATGGGTGGCTGGCTCCACCCGGATCAAGGTGTTAGACAGGGCGATCCCCTGTCCCCTCTGATATTCAACGCTGTTATGGACGAGGGTCTCGAAGCGGTGAGTGATTGTATCGGCTATACTCTCAATGGTTGCTGCATTAACGCGTTGGCGTT